TGGGTAGGCAAGGTGCACGGGGGCAGGAGGGGCAGGTTTAGCTCGCTTCTCCTTAGGTCATCCACTTCAGGAGGGGCCCTGTGGTAGTGGGAGGGAGTCAGATCTGCTGCCGGAGGTTTGGCTCCGCAGAAGCACAGAGTTGGGTGTTTGCGGAGAGCAAGTTCCCTGGCAGGAACTGGCTCCCTTTGGGATTTTGGCTGGGGGATGGGCGAGGGAGATGGCGCTGGCGAGCGCCTTTGTTCCCCACCAAACTGAGCTCTGTCGTCCGGGGGCTCAGCAGCTCTCCCTCCCTTTGTCCTCCAGCCTTCCCGCTTTCCAAGCAGAGCTACTAACTTATGACCTCCCAGACGCTAAGTCGCGCTTGCTGTCGGAACACAGTCCGGCCGGCCCCCCTGCTTTTGCCAGCGAGACTTGGGGGCTCTGCTTGGCCGGCAGGCTGCCCCTCCGCCCCAGCTCCCTCCAGCCAGTCCGTGGAGTGCGCACCACCTCGCTGCCCTTCCTACCCTCTTCCGTGGGCCTGTCATCTGCGCTTGGCTCCGGAGACTCCATTCTGCTCTACACCTGGTTTTTGAATATTGAACTTATATCCAAAGATTCTCCTAAATTTATTTAATTCTACTAACTTGTCTGTATACTTATCTTAATTTACTTACTTGTTTGGATACCTCTGTATATAAGTACATAATCATATCATCAGTAGATAAGTCTTACTTCTTATAATCCTTATTTTTCCAATCCTTATTTTCTACTTTTTTTTTCCCTATTGCACTGACTAGCAATTTCATTATAGTGTTCAATAGAAACAGGAACAGTGAGGACACTTTGTTCTGATTTCAGAGGGAAAACATTTCAGTAACCCATATTAAGTATGATTTTGCTATTGGATTTTTTTGTAGATACTTATCAAAATGAAGTTTTCTATTATTACTATTATCGACATGTTGCTCAGTTTTATTATCAGCAGAAATTATGATTTTTCTACTCTTTTTCTACTCTTATTAGATAATGTGTTAATTTTCAAATGATAAATCACCTTTGTATTCCTGTATTAAATCCACTCAGTTGTATTATTTTTATGCATTGCTAGACTCAACCTGCTAACATTTAAAAATTTTACATCTATATTCATGTAACTGGTTTGAATTTTTCTTTTCTTGTAACATTCTTGACATGTTTAGTTTCAAGATTACACTGGCCTATTACAACAAGAAAGGGAGTTTTTCTCTTTTCCTATTTATATTTAAGACACAGGATGTTTCCTCCTTAATAGTTAGTCATTAGTTTTACTGTTCCTGGTCTTATTTTTCTCTGATCACTTTTAAAATTTTATCTTTATTTAATGTTTTTAGCAGTCTTAAAATTAAAGCAGTGTTCTTCTGTATGGTTTCCCTAAATATGTACCCTGCTTAGGCTTAACATAATTTCTTCAATCTGTAGGTTGATGGGTTTGCTTGTTTGTTTTTTACCGTTTTGGATAGTAAGTGATCATTTCTCTTCCCATATTTTGTTTTTGCCCTATTATCCCTCTTATTTTTTATTTTATTTTATTTTTTAAATTTACATCCAAGTTAGTTAGCATATAGTGCAACAATGATTTACCCACTTAGCCCATCCCCCCCCGACAACCCCTCCAGTAACCCTTTGTTTGTTCTCCATCTTTAAGAGTCTCTTATGTTTTGTCCCCTCCCTATTTTTGTATTATTTTTGCTTCCTTTCTCTTATGTTCATCTGTTCTGTGTCTTAAAGTCCTCATATGAGTGAAGTTATATATTTGTCTTCTGACTAATTTCACTTAGCAAAATACCCTCCAGTTCCACCCACATAGTTACAAACGGCAAGATTTAATTCTTTATGATTGCCAGGTAATACTCCATTGTATATATATACCACTTCTACTTTATCCATTCATCCATAGGTGGACATTTGGGCTCTTTCCATACTTTGGCTATTGTTGATAGTGCTGCTATAAACATTGGGGTGCATGTGCCCCCTCGAAACAGCATACCTCTTCCCCTATGATAAATACCTAATAGTGCAATTGCTGGGTTGTAGGGTAGTTCTATTTTTAGTTTTTTGAGGAACCTCCATACTGTTTTCCAGAGTGGCTGCACCAGTTTGCATTCCCACCAGCAATACAAAGGGGATCATCTTTCTCCACATGCTCTCCAACATCTGTTGTTGCCTGGTTAATGTTAGCCATTCTGACAGGAGTGAGATAGTATCTCATTGTGGTTTTGATTTGTATTTCCCTGATGATGAGTGATGTTGAGCATGTTTTCATGTGTTGGTTGGCCATCTGGATGTCTTCCTTGGAGAAGTATGTATTCATGTGTTTTGCCCATTTCTTCACTGGGTTATTTTTTGGAGGGTATTGAGTTTGATAAGTTCTTTATAAATTTTGGAGACTAACCCTTTATCTGATATGTCATTTGCAAATATCTTCTCCCATTCTGTCAGTTGCCTTTTAGCATTGCCTGTGCAGAAGCTTTTTATTTTGATGAGGTCCCAATAATTCATTTTTACTTTTGTTTCCCTTGCCTCCCTTGTTTCCCTTGACGTGTTGAGTAAGAAGTTGCTGCAGCCAAGATCAAAGAAGTTTTTGCCTGCTTTCTCCTCAAGGATTTTAATGGCTTCTTGTCTCACATTTAGGTCTTTCATCCATTTTGAGTTTATTTTTGTGGATGGTGTAAGAAAGTGGTCCAGGTTAATTCTTCTGCATGTTGCTGTTCAGTTTCCCCAGCACCACTTGCTGAAGAGACGGTTTT